CACAGCTATGACAGTACATATAGCAAGAATTAATAATTAATTTTAGCAGAAAGCTCCAAAGAAAAGGTCCACCATCTGTCATGTTCACATGTTGTTAGTCAATTTAGATGCAAATGATAACTCTGATAATCCAATATCCTGATTGTTGTGGTCAGACACAAATTTAACTGAGGAAAATAGTCACTTGTATCCACGAATGTTACATCCACTCTCTGTGGTTCAACCACAGAGAGTGGATGTAACATTATAGTGCAAGAATTAAAATGGGCCTGCATCTGTTTGAAATAAATTATTGTCATTGCTGTGAAAAATAAGACAAAATAATAATAGTAATAAAAAAATGAAGGATATACTTGGGGGAATTCCCAGATGATCCTGTCTTTGGTGACTAGTGGTGGAAAAGCCTTCATCCTATTCCTGTGATCCTGCATGATAACCTTTGTAGGAAGCAATACTATTTAAATACTGCAATGTATGTAGTATGAGAATCACAAATTTAGTTTCATCAAGCATTTGGCCTCGATAGATAGGCACATAATGATGTGAGTGCCGACAAGTGTGGGATGAGTTTTGTGGACATGTTTGGACATCGAATAAACTGATTAGCTAGCAAGGTTGCAGTTTCATAAAACTACTGAATACAACGCCGGAAATACAGCATTTCCCCTTCAAATAAAGGTAAAATTACAAAACTACGAATCAAGTGTTTAATATCGTTCCTTTTACCTACTGTCACATTTTTTCAGTTTTACTTTGGATTATTTTACATGCCTAATCCTTCAAAAAGATATGCTACCTTTCGGGTTATGGTCGCTTCTTTATTGTGAAGGGTAATAATCGGATATGTAGTTTAATTTTGTTCGTCGTGAAGGCGACACGCAGCTAACAACACAAACGAAGATTCCATAGACAATATTCACTCAACTCAATCACCTGTTGACCTGATAATCGGTATTTTATTGGCTAAATAAATAAGTCAAACTCACCCCAAATGATTCAAGTCCAATGTTTATTCATTCGGGTCTTCTAGGAGGGCTGTGCGCAGCAACCCCTCACGATGTAGGAATGGGGAACTCGTTTCCTTGACAACCGTACATCGGTGCTTTGTCATGTGACTGCGCTTGTTTGTGGGTAGATTTTAACAAATAGTTTAATAGCAACGTGGTTCATTAGATCTTTAGTTTCTTAGTTACACCATTTGAAAAATAAGTCTTGCTTGATATAAAACGGGTGACGAACTACTGGTCAAAGGTTCGATGTTTTTCATTTAAAGGTTCAAGCACATTCTCCATCCTGTCCTAAGTGCTTCTACTTAAACACTTAGGGCAGTCTCCATCGTTTCTACAACAATGAACAACTTAAACTTGCAAAGTAAAACCCAAAAGCCCAATGATGATTACTTGTGAAGTAGTTAAACAGAAGTAGCATTCCCTTTCTGCAGCAAGAAACATGCAGAAATCCTTTTCACAGGTCTATTTCATGGCTCTAGGTGTTTTTAATGTTATAAAACAAGTAGAAGTTGGCAGTATTTACAGATAGTTTTACTGCTGGCATTTAAAACATGGACTTAGTACGCCACCATATGGTCAGATTCTAAAACTTTGCTGTAATATCAGCTCTAAAAGATGGATCTAGTAAAAGCAAAAGGGAAAATTCCCAAAAATAAATAAACCAAACAAAAATCACCTACCCATCCTAGATCATCATAATAATAAAAATAAGAAGAGACAGGAGAGACAGTATATATACGTAAAAAAAATTACTCCTCAAACTTATCTAACATATAATCAATTTTCGGTTGGTGCCAATTGCTGAATGTGTCACAATCAGAAGGTTACTTTTTTTTTGGCAAGTAAACTCTTCTTAACCAGGAACCTTTAAAAACTTAAAACTTTTCCGCTTTTGTGTCCTGTAAACCCTTAGCTTGTTTTATTGTATCACCCTTGTTTTTCTATGATGGAATTTTACTGTATAGATTGCATATTTTCATGATGTAATCTTATCATATAAGTAAACACGTATTCCTTTTTTGCTGTCATTTTTTGTGTAAAATAAAATTCACCCTGTGGTGAGACACTACAACATTTTTATGCAATAAGTCCTAAGTCCAATTTCTAATTTAAATGCGGTTTTTGTTAGTAAAAAAATCAATATCTGTTTCCCTCTGTAACACCTCATTCTACCTGAAGATTTTTGAAAAATAAAACTTCTGTTTCATACTATGCTACGTTTTGTATAGCGGTATTTAACTGTATAAAAATAGGTATTTTTATAAGATAATTTTATTATTTGTATGATTTAAACATTTTTATGATCAAAATCGCTGAATGCATGAGTTCATTGGCGATTCAAATACATGGGAGAAAGGCAATGTGAGGCAGTGAATAGCTGTGCCTTACCACTGATGGCGCTGTGCCACACACTGACGGTTGCAGACAGTTGCCAATTGCTGACTCTTTATATCGCATTGTTACATACTGGGTTACACATGTAGTAAACATATCTACGTTCCACATTCTGTTTAATATATTTAATGAATGTGTGTGATATATTTAATCTTTCTAATCGACAGTGAAAACGCTGAGCCCCATAGGCTCACACAGCTAACCGCACATCACAACATAGTCGTCAGCAATGCAGCAGAGAGGGGAGTCCTGTAATGAAATCTGGTCGGACAAAATTTAAGATTACTTCTCTAAACTGAAGGATTTTTCTAAATTGGATTTTCAGTTGAAACGGGGTTGCTCAACAAAACACCAAAGTTCGAAGGCACACGAACCGAACCAGTTCAAGAACAAGAGTTCCTTCGCTGGAAAAACGCTAACAGACAGGAAGGCCAACTTCCGAGCTGAAAGATATGCTTCAAACAAGTCGGAGAAAGGTATCCCGTTCTTTTCAACTTAAAATATTTAAATGTATCAATTATGGTCAAAATTGAAGTATAAGCTTCTATTTTGGGTTCATATATTTGTACTGCGGACTCTAGGGGACTTTGTGCCTCAGGAACCTCACCGCACGACACTGTATGACTAATAATTACATTTTATTATTAGGACTTGATTTTATATGTATGTTGGTGTTTGGGTGAGCTAAGTAAATGCTACAGTGCAAGCAGTCAGTGTCATGTGCAACTGTGAGGCTTGAAATGCGTGAGCTAAGCATTTAGACCTGAGAACAAATGTTTGAGTTATTTGATGGACAACGCTACCGTTTAGTTTAGGTTCACATAAAGTTGGTTGCTGGAATATTTTTGGACGTTTGAGTGTAAAAATCTCCCGAAGTTACTCCAGAAAATACAGGTAAAAAACAACTCCTAGCTAGCTTGCTAGCAATACTCGGCTAACGTTTTTGCTTTATGCTAGCTTACCACCTTTTTAAAACTTTTTTTTAACTTATCAAAGCTAATTCTTCATGTCAGTCATGTAAAGTTAGGACGTTTTTCTAAAGCATTATCGCGTTGGACAAATTTCCTTAAATGTAATGTCTGTGACGTTTTCACTAATTTCAAGGCATTGTTTTCGAAGTAAAATTAATGACCTGAATGTCACCAGTGCGTCCAGAACCTTGCCCTTAACTTTATGATATACTCCTCGCCAGGTAGGACCCCCTTTTTGTCTTCAGAACTACCTTAATTCTTGGCATTGGTTCAACGGGGTGTTTGAAGCCTTAATCAGAGGTTTTGTTACATGTTTACATGATAGCAAAACACAGTTGCTTCAAATTTGTTTTCACTTCATCCGAAAGGTGTTCTACTGGGTTGAGATCTGGTGACTGGAGACCATTGGAGTAGAGTGGACTCGCTGTCATCCTCAAGAACCCAGTTTGAGATTAGTTGAGCTTGGTGCATTATCCTGCTAGAGGTAGCAGGATACCTCATAAAGGGTCATAAAGGGATGGACGTGGTCAACAATATATTCAGTTAGGCTGTGGTGTTTAAAGTGATGCTTATTTGGTACTCAGGTCCCCAAAGAGTGCCAAAAAATATCTCCCACAACAATATACCACCAATAATCTGAGTAAGAAAGAACGGATCCATGCTGTCAAGTTTACGCTAAATTTTGACCCTACCATCTAAAGGTCACAGGTGAAATTGGACCAGGTAACATTTTTCCTATTTTTTTATTGTTCAGTTTTTGTGAGTGTGAGTGTGTCTTTCTTTCTTTCAACATCTTTTAGTCTTCATCCATCTGTTTCTCTCCATCTTTCTGTCTTACTTACCAAGATCAATCTTGTACTGCCAGGGGGAGTATTTCCCCTCTCACAGCCAAGTCGAGTCAAAACCTGGCACCTGACAATGTGTGGATTTTAGCTGTTGGTAAGGGGCAGGGACTGAAGCACTGCAACAAGTTTTCAGGCATGGTCTGTGTCCGTATGTGGTCCCCTGTGGGCGTGCACGTGTCGTGTGTGTTTGCGTGTCAGGACAAAGTTTGTCGCAAGTAAAACAGAGAGCAGAAATTTTGGACACGCGTTAATGTGGAGGCAGAAATGACATATTGTTGTGAACATAAATCAAAATACATTTGATTATTAACTTGATCATCTAGGCGGGACGGAGGGGGTTGATATAGGAGGGCCCCTCCTGTATAATGACAGGGTAAACACTGGTACTGTATAATTTTCTGAAGGTTTCATTTGGGAGTGTTTTTGGTGAACACAATAATTAAATGACTAATGTGTGCATGAGTAGTAATTTTTGCATGTTATGATAAAATGTGATGATAAAAATGGAAATATTTTATTTATTTATTGCAGATGTAAGGGGTCATCAGCCTATAAACCAAGAAAAAGATTTACTGTATGTCGAAGAAGATGGATTATCTCGCAGTATCACTACATCCTCATTTACATGATCATCTAAAAGGTAAGTAATCTCGTCACTTGAAGCTTAGAAAGTATATTGTCTCTTTATCTACATACAGTTCTAGTTGATTTATTTGGAAGACACAAATTGGCTACTTGATTTTGTATTACTTATATTTAATTCAGGTGTCAAAAAAGTATGTAATGGCTGGAAAATGAAGCCAGTTCTATTGCTTGGAAGACAACTGTGCTAACCACTTTACCATCAACTACCCTAAAAGACATTCCACAGAATGTCTTCTCATGCTAGAGTAATCAGATGAAAACAGGCTTTTCGTAGTGTTACGTTTTGTCTTTTTTGAATTGAAACAGGGATACACGTACTACACTCCATTTTATATGTTTACATTGGTTTGTTATTAGCATTATCAGGCCATAGACTGTGTTAAGGTGTTGAGCCTTCTGCTGTCAGTTTTTCAAAACTACAACATGGCTGGTTTGGATTACAGTAGAAAAAAAAAGAAAGGACAAAAGGAGCCGTCCCTGGGTGGGCTCGAACCACCAACCTTTCGGTTAACAGCCGAACGCGCTAACCGATTGCGCCACAGAGACTGCTTGCAAAGCTGCCCACCATGAAGGTAGTTGAGCATCAAAAACAGCTTGTGGTCTATCATATATGTTCATTTATCATATATGATATCATATATCCTTCCACAGGGTTTGCTATTTTCCGTGGTGTAGGTGTACCAGAATACTGCAAATCATGACAGAAATGATATCGCGGGATTTGTTGCGGTTTGATGTTGAGTGTTTTGTGGTCAGACCATGCAACATCTCCTCGTTAGTATAGTGGTGAGTATCCCCGCCTGTCACGCGGGAGACCGGGGTTCGATTCCCCGACGGGGAGAGCTGAACTTTTGCTTTCTTCTCTTTGTGGTTTGAAGTGAGTATGACGAATTTGCCACTGTTTATCAAATTGACATGTTGAAATACATAGTCCAGACGGCTGATGCTGATGTGCTACAATTTAGCTGCTTTTATACAAGGTGTACTACGGCACAAGTGCTGCATTGGAGCCGTGAATGGATAAAAAGTCACTGGAGGCAACGGTCTGAATCCTGGTTCATCCTTGTCTCAGCTAAACAAGGAAAAATAATTAAAAAATTACGTAGCAGCGAAAAAGAAAATGTGTAGGGCCTTCACATACATAAATTTGTGGATGAAAGTACAGGGGTTGGACAATGAAACTGAAAAACCTGTCATTCTAGTGTGGCCATCTCCCATGGCCTGCACAGTCACCAGATCTAAATATTATGGAGCCACTTTGGGGTGTTTTGGAGGAGCGAGTCAGGAAACGTTTTCCTCCACCAGTATCACGTAGTGACCTGGCCACTATCCTGCAAGAAGAATGGCTTAAAATCCCTCTGACCACTGTGCAGGACTTGTGGAGGACCAGAGTGGTGTCTGGTCATGTTATCTCCTCGTTAGTATAGTGGTGAGTATCCCCGCCTGTCACGCGGGAGACCGGGGTTCGATTCCCCGACGGGGAGAAATAGTATTTTCAGAATCAGCTTTATTGCCAAGTTTGTACATACAAACAAGGAATTTGACTCCGGTACACTTTGCTCTTTGGTTTTTGTTTTTGCAGTACAGAATATACATATTTACAATGTACAAATATACACATATATAAATAAATAAAAAGGTGCATTTGCAACATCTGTATGCTGTTGTTTTGTTCTATTGAATGTTCAACAGAGAAACAGCCTGAGGAAAGAAACTGTCTCTGTGGCGGCTGGTTTTAGTGAACAGCGCTCTGTAGCGTCGGCCTGAAGGCAGAACTCTAAACAGTTTATGTGCAGGGTGTGTGGGGTCTGCAGAGATTTTAGCAGCTCTTTTCCTGACCCTAGACCTGTATAAGTCTTGGATGGAGGGAAGGTCAGCCCTGATGATTCTCTCTGCAGTCCTGATTGTTCGTTGCAGTCTGGACCTGTCCTCTTTTGTGGATGAGCCGAACCACACTGAGATGGATGAAGACAGGACAGACTGAATGATGGCAGTGTAGAAGATGACCAGCAGCTCCTGTGGAAGGTTGTACTTCTTGAGTTGCCTCAGGAAGTACAGTCTCTGCTGGGCCTTCTTCCGAACAGTGTCTATGTGTGAAGACCATCTCAGGTCCTCAGAGATGGTGGTTCCTAAGAACCTGAAGTGATCCACAGCCGACACGGTGTTGTTGAGGATGGTGAGGGGGGTGTATGGAGGTGGTGTTTTCCGAAAGTCCACTACCATCTCCACAGTCTTGAGTGGGTTTAGCTCCAGGCAGTTCTGACAACACCAGTGTATCAGGCGATCCACCTCCTATCTGTATGCAGACTCATCACCGTCCTGGATCAGTCCAATGACAGTGGTGTCGTCTGCAAACTTCAGGAGTTTCACGGACGAGTCTGCTGAGATGCAGTCATTTGTGTAGAGGGAGAAGAGGAGTGGGGATAGAACACACCCCTGGGGGGCACCAGTACTTATTGATCTGGTTCGGGAGAAGATGCTCCCCAGTCTCACCTGCTGCTGTCGGTCCGTCAGGAAGCTGTTGATCCACTGACAGGTGGAGGCTGGGATGTTGAGCTGGGTGAGCTTCTGGTGGAGGATGTCTGGTATGATGGTGTTGAAGGCCGAGCTGAAGTCTACAAACAGGATCCTGGCGTAGGTCCCTGGGCGGTCGAGGTGTTGCAGGATGAAGTGTAGACCCAAGTTAACAGCATCATCTGCCAACCTGTTTGCTCGGTAAGCAAACTGCAGGGCGTCCAGTAGAGGGCCTGTGATGTCTTTCAGGTGCTTCAACACCAGCCGCTCAAAGGATTTCATGACCACAGACGTCAGGGCTACAGGCCTGTAGTCATTTAATCCTAGGATGGTGGGTTTCTTGGGCACTGGGATAATGGTGGATCGTTTGAAGCAGGAGGGGACCTCACACTTCTCCAGTGACTTGTTGAAGATCCGGGTGAAGATTGGAGCGAGTTGATTTGCACAGGCTTTCAGGCATGATGGGGAGACGTTATCGGGTCCTCCAGCTTTCTTTGTTTTAATGCGTTGAAAGAGGCTATTTACATCTTCCTCAGAGATCTTTAGTGCAGGCAGAGGATCTGAAGGTAGGGGGTTGGTTGCTTTACTGGTCGAATTTGTTCTGAATGGGATGTGGAGGAGTTGGTTTGAGGTGTGAATGGCTTCTTGTCATGTCTGCAGTAGAAGCCATTCAGACGGTTGGCCGAGGCGAGGACTTTGTTCAGGAAGGGTGGTGGGGCTTCTGTAGCAGTCAGGTTTCTCAGACCAGTCCATACAGCCGAAGTGTCACCAGTAGAAAGGCTGTTTTTCAGCTTCTCACTATAGCTTCTCTTGGCTGCTTTGATCTCCTTTGTAAGTCTGTTCCTGACCTGCCTGTACCGCGCCCAATCTCCACTGCTGTGAGCTTCTTCCTTGTCCCTGCGCAGATTCCTGAGATGTGGAGTAAACCATGGCTTGTTGTTCCCAAAGGTGCAGAAGGTCTTGGTCTGCACACACGTTCTCACAGAAACTGATGTATGATGTCACCACATCAGTTGGTTCGTTTAAATCAGTGGCTGAGGTTTCAAAAACAGTCCAGTCTGTGCATTCAAAGCAGGCCTGTAGCATCTGCTTCGATTCCTCAGTCCACTTTTTAACAGTGTGAACCACGGGTTTGGAAGCTCTTAGTTTCTGTCTGTAAGTTGGGATGAGGTGGATAAGGCAATGATCCGAAAGTCCCAGAGCAGCCCTGTTAACAGCATGATATGAGTCCTTAAAAGCTGTGTAACAGTGGTCCAGTGTGTTTTTGTCTCTGGTGGGACACTTAATATGCTGTCTGTATTTTGGGAGCTCGTTAGAGAGATCTGCGCTGTTAAAATCTCCCAGTATTATGATGAAAGAGTCAGGGTGTTTTTTCTCCACGTCTGTAATCAGCTCAGCAAGATGTTTTTCCGCGGCAGAAGTGCAGCCATGCGGAGGAAAATATGAGCCGATTATTATGAACGAGGAAAACTCTCTCGGTGAATAAAACGGTTTACAGATTATGGAGAATGACTCCAGATCCGGACTACATGTTTCCCCCAGCACTTTATGTCTCTGCACCAACCTTCGTTTATATAAAAGCAGATTCCGCCTCCTCGCTTCTTCCCTGATAGCTCCGCGCTGCGATCCGCTCTGAACAGCTGGAAGTTCGGCAACAGCAGTACGTGGTCCGGGATGTTGTCACTCAGTCATGTCTCGTTGAAGCAGAGAACCGCTGATCTGCGGAGGTCTGAGTTTTTACCGGTGAGAAGAAGTAGCTCGTCCATCTTGTTGCTTAGAGAGCAGACATTTGCCAGATGTATTGAAGGCAGTGGTGTGCGAAGTCCTCTTTTGCGGAGCTTTACCAGGGCGTCAGCCCGCTTTCCCCTCCGACGCCTCCGGCGCAGTATCCCGTAGAGCGTCGCCGCTCCGCTTGCCAGAAGCTCAGTGAACCTCGGATGGATGAAAGATGGTGAAAAAATCCCAAGAGAGGACTCTCTGATGTTGAGAAGTTCCTATCTACTGAATGAGACCACCAAATTGTGGCCCGAGACCACAGTACTGTGGTTCGAAAAACATATAAACATACAAAATACAAAAACAAGGAGAGCGAAGCTCCGAGGCTGCCATCGTCGGCGCCATCTTGTTTTAATTTTGGCACTATCTTTGGTTTGTAGTTCACAGTGTATGCACCTGTTTGCTAAAGTGCTATTATTTAGCTGCACTTTTACAATCACTAATCACCTGGATCACAGTGAAACACTATGAATAATCAGCACTTAGGTAATACATTCTAACTGATTCATCAAACCTACCACATGAAAAAAAAGGAAACGTCCCTGGGTGGGCTTGAACCACCAACCTTTCGGTTAACAGCCGAACGCGCTAACCGATTGCGCCACAGAGACCGTTGGTGCAGCTAAAGGAGGTCTAAGTATAGTCCAGCCAGGGTACACTTTGGTTGGGATTGATAAAATGAGAGTTTTTGCTAGGGTGATGGGTGGGTGTTGCACAGATTGCATTGGTGGTTCAGTGGTAGAATTCTCGCCTGCCACGCGGGGGCCAGTTGCGTATAGGTGTAATTCGCTGACACATTGAAATACTGGGCTGTAATTGCAATAATAGAAATTGCAGGACCTCTGATTACAGTATTTAGCATCAGTGTTTGCTCTAAATTATACAATGAAACTGCTATGATTCATTATCCCTCTGAA